AAAAAGATGCTGACCAGCCTCACTGTCCTCATAAAAAGTTTTGCCACTTCTTCCTTCACCGTCCTGTAGTTCACAGGAAGTGAATGAAAATAAAATTACAAAGAACATCAAAGGAAGAACTGAACAATAGCCCTGATTTTGAAAGTTATTCCAAGGTCAGAATAGGTATAACCTAAGCTTTATCCAGAAAACAACATTCCAGGACAAGAAGATGCCAAAGATGCTTTTTGCAGTTTTATCTCATAGTTGCTTGTCATGCTTCTGAAACAAGAGAGAATACTTGATAAAATATGTGCTCTTGTAGACAATTTGTTCTGGGTCTGGCTAAATAATAGGTGAGAGTGTTATTTTCAACAGTGACAATTACGTCTCTTCAATAATAGCACTCTGTTGATTTTAAAACTTTTGAATGATGGATTACTGGTGTGATCTCTGATTCAGAAAGAACTGTATAATCCCCTTGCTGTGCTGCAAAGTGCCCCAGCAGCACTACCCTGATGAAGTCCTGCAGGTATGATCTGAGACAGCACACGCTGTGCTGCCAGGCGTTCTTGGGGCTTAAGGTACTCCAAGGATACAACTACCTGTCTAGCAATAGTTGGATTCAATGCCAAAAGATTTCTTTACTATCACTCATATGTGCTGAAACAGCACACATAGCAAGAGTTCCCAGAAAAATCAACTACCATTAAAAAAAAAAAGAAAAGGCACACATTAAGAGAGAGATTTCTCTGGCACAATTCAGAGCTACTCTCTTGACATAAAAGTGCAATATCAGATAAGGATCTGGCCCATCCAATTTGAATTCTTTAGTATATGCATTCTTTAAAAATAAATAATTGAACTGTCAGTTCCATCTAACTACCTCATTACTGTTCTTTCGTTTCCTGTCAGCACCACAAAAATAGTTAGAAGAAGGGGTTTGCATAAGGAGAGAGCTCACAAGGGAAAGAGCAGGTTGTTATACAGAAAAGGGAGAGCATGTAAAATAGCAGGCAGCACAGAGATGAGTGCAGGGGAAGCAGACCAGTGGGCCAGTCAGTACTGAGGTACAGGATGAAACAGCAGAAAAGTAAACTATACCTGGGGAAATGTGGCTTGGAAGGTGTTAAGAGTGTACTATTTAAGTAGTTTAAGTTAAAAGGGACATTATGTACCAAGGAAAGACAAATTTCATGTTCCCTGTGTCCTCTGAGTGTAAAAAGGTCCCTAACAAGCCAATTCTCAACAGTGGAAGGAGACTACATTAATGCATCCCTTCCAACCCAGTATTATCACATCTAGAGATCTCCTCTGTGCCACTAGCAGAAAAAACCTCACAGGCAGTATTCTTTCATTGAAAGCAGCACTGAAAACTACCCACTTGGCAACTAATGAATAGATCCTTATTTTCCTGCCTTTCTTACGCTACAGGCTGTGAGACTGTCTGATCATCTGAATTTCAGAGCAGTTGTGCATAGAAAAAGAAGACAGCCTAAAGCTGCAATACCTGCCTGCCTGTACTAGTAGTCGCAGTAATTCCTTATAGTACTCCCACCATGCTGATAGGGAGGGCAGTGATGTCCCCCTTCTCTTTTCAAAGGAGAACAGTCAGCACCAGAAGTCAGCCGGAGGTGTCAGTGTGAGAGGACTTCAGAGTTCAATGCTCAGCTCCTGCTGAACCCTCGTCTGACCTCTGATGCTGCTGTATGTTCAGAGGATAGTTGGGGAGACACAGAACATGTGAATGACAAACGAAACGGGAACCACTCACGCTAACCAACTACTGTCCTTTGCCTTCTAGTAGAAGAGCATTTATATCTGTCCTTTGCTCTACAAGGGCAGCGGATTCATATATTTTTAATAATGAAAAAATATCTTTAAAACTATTTTGCAGACCTTATAGCCACATCACTACTGCACAGTGAAATGCAGTCCCTTCTGACACTAAGCAGCATTACAATGGCTTTGCCTTACACTGAGTAAGTGCCAACTATTGGGTTCACTGCACTAAAATCAGTATAGCATGTGGGTAACTGTAGACATTGAAACAACCAGTCAGCTGCAAAATTTGCTCATCTTGTGTGGATGTGTACAAAGTTTATGTATGTATGCAAATCAAGCTATCACAAGAATAGATGTCAAAATAAACAGTGGAAATATAATTGATCATACAACAACAGCAAATCTTTTTTCTCTCCTCATAAGTGCTGATTACAACAGTAACTATTAAATATATAAGATGCATGACTGTATCTTGATTTGATAACAGCATTTCTCTGCATTTTGAGAGCTTAAAAAATGGAGTAGTAACTCAATTATGTATGTTTATGAGCCTAATATAATTGATTTTCTGACCAGCAAGGATACCAGTGGGAATTATCTTGGTCCAAAGAAATCAGTGAATAATGACACAAAGTCCTGTTTTGGCAGAAGCACCATAAAGATGTCTTACATAAAAGTCCATAATCTAGCCAGCCTCAGAAATCCAAGCTGAAATCCAAATATATCAAGTTGATAACAACTGTTCCAGTACCACACGATAACACATGGTTCTTATATAGTGTTATTGCACAATGTTTTCATATGTAGCTTGTTTCTGTCTACATTGTCAATAATCAAATTGTAACGAGTGACAACCATACTACTTGACTGAATAAAACCTTGTCTTTCTAGGGCTGGATTTCTGAAAATGATGACTGCAAATGAGAATCTAACGCTTACTGCCATTCAGCTCTTCTGAAATTGTCAGTATGTGCCTGCATAAGCAAGGACCTCCAAGGGGTTTCATGGTGCAACTCATATGCCAAATGCTCAGAATCATCCCTCTTCAGTATGTCTTCATGGGGAGGGTTCTTGGGAAACATCTATTTAAATAGTCAGGAAAAAATGGATAGAAGGGGATGGATAGAATATCTCAAGCATAAATCACTGTACTCCATATACAAGCACTTTCACTGTAGTACTTTTGGACTATGTTATTCTCCACCTTAACTGCCCATATAAATTGCATTTTCAGCTTTCAGCAGAACTGTGTAAAGAAACATTTGTTTGTCTCATATGGTTCTTCACCCTTTTCCAAAAATTTTCTTTTCCCCACAATCACACCAGGAACTCGCTTTCTGTTAACTGCTCAGTAAAAGAGAGTGCCTCGGGGCTTTATTAAGTAGGATTTCTGAGAGACTGAACTATGTGTAACCTAAATTGGCTTCATAAGTGGTTTCTGGAGGGCATAGTGCAGTATTTATACGCATAATCGCCTTTCACCTTGATGTTAATTATATACTTTGCCATTCAAAATAAGTCATGGCCATGAGCTGAAGCATTTGTAAAGTAAATTCAACACTCCTAAAAATTCCTTTTCTTTTTACCCCCAATCTCTAGTGTGGCCTGAGCAGAAAACAACCATTGGTCTCAAAAAGGAGGGCAGAAAATTTTCACCTCTCTAGGTTGCTTTGTTATAAAATAGAAATATAATCCACAGTCTTTTTTCTCCAAATATGATAATAAAAGGGCCTTGCTGGTTAACGACAATTTGAAGAGCTATAAGTGCCTCAGGGTCTCATAAAACACATTTTAGCTAGGAAAAAAATTACATAATACGTCATTTTTGCATTTCATTTTCTACTTTTTCTTCCCTTTTCTAAATCAATGATATTTATACAAAAACAGGATCTTTATTTCTGATCTGTGTTCTACTCCACTGAAGTCAATATGCCAGATTTTTGAGAATGAATTTTTTCTGCTGGGGTTTGTTATGTGCTGCTTAAGTGAGGACAATACGAACCCAGCAAAGATCACCATGATCCAGAAAGCAAAGTCTGACCTAAAGAAATGGCATCCAGAATTCACTGATTGCCAACAGCAAATAATTATGAGTTTGGAAGGGCCTGTTCCAGAGCTGGCCAGTTTTAAAGAACTGGCTCAGCTGAGACAAAAGTACTAGATTTCACAAGCACATTTTGGAGGCATTTAAGAAAAATCATAAAAAATATGCTTTGCAAAATAAAAATATAGAGATGTTTTGGTTTAAATTGGTATCTGCCAGCGTGTTGACAGTCCTTTGAAGACTCAGTACAAAGAGGTAATTCAGGTTTTTTCCTGTCATTTCAGGCTTTGAAACTACCCTGCTCACTTTCTACTGAATAGCCCATCTCTGCCCCTCAGTAGTCCCTCTGGGGCACTGCCTCTGAATCTAGGCTGTGCTCACTTCTAAATTGCCTCCTACTTCAAACATCAAAATTCTGTGTGAACAATTCCCTGTTTCTCATTTGACCGAGATCTCCATTTTTGCTCTCTTTTCCATTCACCATTTTGTTTGCCTGATACCTAAATGCTAATCAAGTCCTCAGTGTTCCTCTGTAAGCCCACCAAAAAAAACCCAAACTAAAATATAAAAATAAATGTGTGTAGCCTCAGAAAAAGGCATGACAGAATTATGGAAGACAAAACCATTGAAAGGTTCAGTATCTGGGACAGTATTTTGGGGAAGTTTTTATGTTTTCTTCTAAACCACTGCTGATGGATCATGTTAAATCAGACTGTTGAGAAAAATAATACTTTGATCTGAGCCAGTAGGGTTGTTCTTAGGCACCACCTGTACAATACCTCCATTCTCTGTTTACTCCCTTATGTTTCTTTACAGAAGCTAAGCCTAAGATTCTTGCAGAATAATTTTGTTGATATCTGTCATACTCTATAAACTAAGTGCTATTTCATAAGCCTGCAACATCATCCCTTTGTGTCATACTGGATAGTAGCTACAAGTATAATAGATCACATTAATACTAAAAATATCATTATGAAGCACTTTCTTTAAGATTACAGTACTAAAGTTTAGATAAAGAATTTCTCACCTCCTTCAGGATATTAACTGCAGACAGAAAAGAATGATGATGGCATTGACTAAGCACACAGTAGAATAAAAAAAAATTAAGGAAATTAAGTCTCCTCTAAGCCATTATTTTTACTGATAAAGTTTAATTTTGCCTTTATAGACTGCAGTTTAAGTCTTCACTCACCTCTAGAAAGTACCAGAGTCCTCCTGTACTCAGCACTGGTGAGACTGCACCTCAACTCCAGTGTTGAGTTTTGGATCACTGACAACAGGACATGGAGGTTCTCGAGCATGTCCAAAAAAGGGCCACAAAGCTGGTGAGGTGTCTGTAGCACAAGTCAACTGGGGAGCAGCTGAGGCAGCTAGGACTGTTCAGCCTAGGTAAAAGGAGGCTCAGGGGAGACCTTGTTCTCTCCACAACTACCTGAAAGGAAATTGTAGCAGTGTGGGGGTAAGTCACTTCTCCCAAGTAACAAGTGTTAGGACAGGAGAAAATGGCCTCAAGTTGTGCCAATAGGAGTTTGGATATTGGGAAAAAATTTGTTCACTGAAAGGCTGGTCAGGCATTCAGATAGGCTGACCAGGGAAGCAGTGGGATAACCATCCCTGGAAGTGTTCAAAGGGCAGGTGCATATAGCACTTGCTATATGGGGACATGCTTTAGTGATCAGTGCAGTGGTGCTGAGTAAACAATTGGACTCAATGATCATAGTGGTCATTTTCAACCTTAATGATCCTATAATTCTATGAAAGACATCTTCAGTTTTCAGTTCAAACTAGTCCTAATCCAAAATCCTCTGTGAGATGCTTAAATATTTCGATGGTTCTGTCTTTGTAGCATTTCAAGTTACTCATGTTGCTTGAAAACACACATAGTACTAAACTGTCAATGCTGAGAATGTCCATGAACATTTTGAGGTGTTTTGAAAGAAGATGAAAAATTCTCCACTACCAATCATTAGAACAGTTGTTATAGTCTACTCTTATTTCCTTTCAAATTTCAGTGAATTCTATGTCCTTTCTTAGGAAAAGGTGTGAACACCTTTACCCAGCTGATCATTTTTCTGGCACTTTGGAAAACATCTTATGCCCCATTATTAATAATCTTTTTGAAGTGCATCTGTTTGCCAGTAGTTTGTTCCCTTCTATTTTCAAATTGTCAAATAACAGCTGGGGAGTCTTATATGCAGCAGCTGATTCAAATGCAGTATTATGTTCAGGTTGCACTATTGTACTTCAAGGCATCACTCTGATTGCTCTGGCAGTCAACTTTTCCAGGCCTTGCCATAAAATCTGCTAGCTTATAGCATGTGGTAAGCATGACTCTAAGCCAGTTTTGTAACATGGTGTTTTAAGTATATAAATCAGCAACCATCAAGAATAATGATTCAAGCTATCAGGTTTCTACAACAGTGATGCAATTTATTAAACTGCTCACTGTTACTTGCAAAACAAGCAAAGTTGAGCTGAGATAAATAAGTTTTAAAATGTCATCATGAGGAATAGTATCTGAAAGAGCTAAATTGCTCATAGTAATGAACAAAATGAACAGACAGCATTAAAAAGTCACAAGGAGACAGACCTTCACCTCAGTGCAGAGTTGTAGCACCACTAACTACTGGATATCACATTCTTAAGGTATCTTAAGAGATACATTACTTATACCGAAACATTTTTAAGTAACCTTTATTTGGAAAGTATTTTACAGAAATGAATAATGCATGTAATGAAGCATTAGTGCAACAAATACATCCTAACCAACCTGTAACTGAAAAAGAAGGAAGAAGGTAATAAATTACTTGGAAAATGCTTAAATGTCTACATGAGAAAGATCTGATGCAGTTGTGACTGCCTACATCCCACAGTGACAAAAGGGGTTTGTGCAACTAAAGATGAGAGAGATATTGATTCCTCAGTATCTAGTAGTATTAGCTGTAGCAAATTATTTAACACATTTCCCATTAACTACACCAGGCAAAGGTTATAGCTGCAGCAAATTATTTTGGTAGTCAGTCTTAAGAGAAACTTTGCTCCAAAGAATAAGAAAACATAAATGAATCAATATTTTCACCACAGCTGGCTGAAGTATAGATAAAAGCCCTATCATTACATTCACCAGCTTATTCTGTCATTAAATACACCTAGATTAATATGAATACTAAGACAACTATGACATGGAAAGTAGTAACAGAAACCAATCCCACACTGATACAAGAACACCCTTTTAATTTCATTCTTTTGTCCACTTCAAGCTTAAGCCTCCAAAAAGATAGTATTGGTCACAGCATTAATCAAATATACCAGAAACATTCATTATTAATCATAAAGCAGTGTCTAGTTTCAGGGGTTTACTATCACATCTCATGTACTTCAAAAATTATATGTCTTTTTCCATTTTGATCCCATTAAATTGACTGAGAGTCTTTCCATAGCCTGCCTTAGTCCTGAGTGGGGTTCACAGACTCTCCAATAAAGGAATTCAAGTAAAAGCAACACAAATAACGAAGGGGTTTATGCAGCAAGTATATGAAATCTATAAAAGCTAAGTGAGCTGCCATTAGGTACAGGTCTGGCTTATTATGCTTATTTTGGCAAAATGAGAGCTATCTCCAAAAACGAGGAGTCAGAATTCTCTCTGTTCTTCTTCCCAGTCGACAGAATTTCCAGCTCTATGAGAAAAGTTTAGTTCTCATAGGCCATTTGGCCCCTGTTCTCCTGCTCAGAACATTAGCTGGCCTGCAAATTAAAACATTTCCTCCCACAGGGTGCATGTCCCACTAAAGCTACATTGACACCAAATGGTACAATCACCATGGGGAAATGATCAAAGTCTACTGATATACTCACACATTTGTGGATATCACTTACTCTTGCTCCTTGAGCAAAAACCTCTTGTAACACTAACTACATTAAGCTTTCAATGTTATTGAAACATAAAAAGACAAACTTTACTGTTCAATTACAGTATCACAGGTAGTAATTCTAATGTTACAAAATCTTGTAAAAAAAAAACAAAATCCAATGGCCCCTTTCACATAAACCACTAAAAACACATTGGATGCTTTTGCTTGCATCCAGCTATTTCACTTCCACTGAGCTATTCCCTAACTGATTGGGATTGAGATAAGTTTCCAGGTATTAAGAAACTGCTGTCTCCCACCACCATAACAGGAACGTTTTCAAAACTTCTGATCGGCATTTCTGTTCTTCCTCTAGTTATGAGAAGAAAAACTTATCTAAATCTACTGATGACATCACAGCTCAATTTTTATGAAAGAAAATTGAAAAAAACTCAGTAAGCATACCAAGAATTAGTTGACTGTTCATCAACATTTATGAAATAACAAGTAAGGACAAGGACAGAATAAAAATAAACAAATGTTACTGATAAGAGAACTCACTCCATCATCCTTTTGATGATTCCATCCCCATGAAACTTTTACTATGCCTTCAGTTCAGTGCAACAAAAAGAGAAAAGTAAACACTTTGTAGTTATTAACCAAGAGGTTAAAATAATCAAAATTTAAAGAACCTAAGCTCTGATCAAAACTTTCACATGTCCTACTTAAAACTTTAGTTCAATCATACCTGACATCATCTACCAAAAAAATGAGGAATTAAATATGTTAGGACTTCAATTTAACCATACAGAATCACAGAATATTCTGAGTTGGAAGGGACCCATAAGGATCATCAAGGTCCAACTTCTAGATCTGCATAGAATCATCCACAAGAATCCCACCATGGGCCTGAGAGCATTGTTCAAACTCTTCTTGTACTCCGACAGGCTTGGTGCTATGATCACTTCTCTGGGGAGCCTGTTCCAGTGCCCAACTACCCTCCGGGTGAAGAACTTTTTCCTAATATGTAACCTAATCCTCTCCTGACACAGCTTCAGGCCATTCAGGAAACTCTCTAATAGCTGAATATCTTTCTTATATTGTGGTGCCCAAAACTACACAAAATTCAAGGTGAGGCCACACCCCAGTGCAGAGCACAGTGGGACAATCCCCTCCCTCGACCAGCTGGTGATGCTTTACCTGATGCCCCCAGGACATGGTTGGCCCTCCTGGCTGCCAGGGCACTGCTGACTCATCTTCAACTTGCCGTAGACTAGGACCCCCAGGTCCCTTTCCATGGTACTGCTTTCCAGCATCTCATTCCCCAGTCTGTATGTACATCCCAGGTTACCCCAACCCAGGTGCAGAATCCGGCACCTTCCCTTGTTGAACTTCATATGGTTGGTGATTGTCCAGTCCTCTAATTTGTTGGGGTCTCTCTACAGGGCCTCTTTCCCTTGGAGGGAGTCAACAGCTTTTCCCAAGTTTGTATAATCTGCAAAGTTACTTACTATCCCTTCCAGTTCTGTGTCCAAGTAATTTTTGAAGCTGTTGAAGAGCACAAGGCCTAAGATGGAGCCCTGTGGAACCCCTCTAGTGACAGGTCACGAGTCTGATGTTCCCCTCTGTGCTTGACCCGTGAGCCAATTGCTCACCCACCACCTGACGTGTTTATCCAGCTGTATCCCGGACATTTTGTAAAGAAGGATCCTGTGAGACACAGTATCAAAATCTTTACTGAAATCCAAAAAGATTACATCAACTGACTTCCCTTGATCAGCTGGGTAGGTTACCTTGTCATAAAAGGAAATCAGGTTTGATAACAGGACTTTCCTCCCATGAAGCCATGCTGGCTGTGACTGCGTTGTGTTTAGGTGGTTTTCAGTACCTCCCAGAATAATCTTCTCCATAACTTTACTAGGAACTGAAGTGAGATTAACAAGCCTGTAGTTTCCAGGGTCATCCTTCTTGCCCTTTTTGAAAACTGGGACAATGCTAGCCAGCTTCCAGTCAACTGGGACCGCTCCAGATTCCCAAGACTATTAAAAAAATAGTTGAAAGAGGCCTCAATCTCACAAACATCCATAAGCACTAATTCATAGTATCTCCATTAAGTCAGTCTTTAACTACAACTGAGAAAAACTAATGCCAAAACAAATCAAACTGTTTTGCTACACTTACAGGGAGTTGCTGGCAGACCTTGGAATGCAGAAACCTCGTCTGCTCTTGAATCATGAGGCCAAACTCACACATAGCACCAGGGAAGGCACTGTAGTTGCAGTATTTTACAGTACTATCACTATAATTACTTTGTGTCTCTCCTGTCTAAGATAAGAAGAAATAAAAAATAACACTAGGATGAAAAGTAGACCTCATCTACTTCTCAGAGAGCTTTTCTTCAAGTGCAAATACCAAATATCCTGAAGACAGTTTTCAGAAGCTCCTTTAGGTCTTCCACAGAATTTTTCCCCTATAAATGATAATACACACTTGAGCAGAAGCAATGTTTCTACCAACACTTATAAGCTGATTATAAGCCACCATTCTATGAAGTTTGAAGCATATCAGGTTATTTTATTTTCATGGACTAATTTCCGTCAGTAAACACTGCAAGTGACTAGTTTGTATTTATTTATTGAGTATCATTCAAGGACTTTTAGGGTCTTTTAAGCCTATGCTACCACAATAGTAACAGCTTCTGGTTTGAATAAAATGATACAAAAGTATAAAATAAGACAGAAGGTTAAATTGCCCGCACATGGTTGTAGTGATGCAAGGCCAGTGCAGCCATGGATAATGTCTTTAAGACTACATGAGAGAAACAGTCCTGCAGAGCCCAGGACAGGAGAAAAGGAGGGGAGGAGGTGTTCCAGGTATAGCAGCAGTTTCCTCTGCAGACACTGGGGAACATGATGCTTTAGCAGGCTCTCACCCTTCATCCCATTTTGTGCCATTGCGGAGCAGATATTCCCCTACACCCCTTAGGCATCCACAGTGGAGCTGGGTCATACTTTAACCACGGCCAGAAACAAAGCACTTCAAAGACACTCCCTCACTGCTGGAGTAAAATTGAGAACACTCATTACTTGAGATAAAAGGTAGTTTACGAGAAAAAGCAAAAGCCCTACATGCAATCAAAGCTGGAAACGCCATCACTGACACCACTGCCACCACTGCAGTGGGCTTCTCTGCCTGTGTATTGCCTCCCGCACTGCCAGAGAGCCCGGCCGCTCCTCTCACTTCTCCTGTGTCAAGTCGGTGTCCAGCAGACCCACTGGCACATGCTGGTGGTGAAGCAAGGCCCCTGAAGACACAGCTGCCCACTTCATGTGGGCTGGGGTTGGCCAGTAGCCACGGAGCCCATGGGTGGCCAGCGTGGCCATGCAGCCATTGTGACAACACTGGTGAGGTTGGCTCTGTAAAGCCCCTGTGTCACAAAGGGCTCCACCCTGGTACCCCCTATAAAAGCAGAGCAGCCACACACGCCGCTCAGCCAGCACCACCATGGCCGGCTACAGACGGAGGAGGGGCAGGGCTCGCCGGAGCAGGAGCAGGAGCCAGCCAAACCTGCACAAGACGCGTCGCGCCGGCCAGAGCCGCTCCCGCCGCCGGAACACGCGGATGAGGGGCCATGCCGGTTATGCTGGCCAAGATGAAACAGGCAGCCCCCCCACTGGCAGGCGCCGGCCCCCAAATAGGAGACGCAGACGCCGTCCCGTAGAGGAGGAGGAGCCGGAGGAGCCTGAAGAGCTCATAGACTTCGAGTTTTAGAGCCAGAGCCTCCGAGACCACCAGCCACCACACGGGTACGGCTACAACAATAAAGCATAGAAAGCTTGCATAATGGCTGTGGGTCTCTCTGGTGCGCCTGCGTGGCAGCCACGGGTCTCTTGGGGTCCACCCGGGTCCCGGGATCATGGGTGGCTGTTGCGACTCGCCTCAGAAGAGGAGGGTAACCCAGGTTCTTATCAGTAAATCCCTTAATTAGAGTAAAACGACACTGAGTAATCAGTGTTTATAAACATTTATATGTAAGGTTTATTTTGGAACAGTTTTGTTTCAAAGCTAAACAGGTATGTTGCCATTTTCAATGTTATCATCTATAGCAATACAGCAATATTAGAGTATCTATAGCAATATAGCAATATTAAAGCATAGCAATAAAGCACTATTAAAGCATAGCAATATTAAAGCATAAAGATAACACTTAAGGAAATGCATAAAGGAAGAGAAAGGGAAAGAAAGTATAAAGGTGGAAAGATATATATATAGTCACCACCCACTGGATCCAGCAATGAAACTTGGTAGTTGCAACTTCGTGTTTCTTCGGTGCACTGGTGGTCTGGGGGAAGCCCCCACCTAAACTCCGAAGATATTATGAGTTACTATACAATTCCAGCTCAAGTGCGGGGAGTTTTTCAATGGATAGTGTCACGGGACATTTCATTGAGTCTCTGACATCTCCTAAGACAGCTACAGCTGCCTATTGTGTCAGCATCAACCATGGTCCGACATTTGAGATGCATAGCCCAGGCTAGATGAGCAGAGTTATCATGTAAAGGGAGGACAATGGCATGTTAACAGGAATTCTCCCACCTTGCAGGATTTGCCTCTTCTTAGCCTCTTTCCTTATCTGGAGATCCAGTTTGTAGCTTCAGGTAAACATCTGCACCCAGGATAGTTGGGCAATGGCACCCACTTATCTGATCTGAAGGTCCGTTGGCAGTATTCAGTTTGGTGTGGGCTTTGCTGGGTGAGCAGCTGCTTCTTTTCAGTTTGCAAAAGTCCATGTCCAACAGCTGTGAGCAACCCAATGCATGGGAGTAACACGTGGGAGTGTTTGGGATCATAAGCGTGTACAACAGTGGTGCACATCCAGGAGCAGGGATACTCCTATGAGGGAAGGGCATGTCCAAGAATGTGATCAGACAGAGGTGTTCTTGTGCAGGAAGTGCATGTTCAGGCATGATGTTCCCGTGTGGGATCTGTGAGTTGGAGGATGTTCTCATGCGGCATGTGCATGTCCAGGGTTGTCCTTGCCCAGGATGGGGTGTGAATGTGTCTGCAACCCATGGCTGTGCCTGCCCCGTGGGGAGTGCACACGATGATGGCAACATGGATAACCCCTGCTCCTGGCCACTGGTCCCCTGGGCTCCCTTTTTAGTCCCTCTTATTGCAGGGTCCTGAATAGTTGAGCAGAGCCCACACAGAGAACACTCAGTGCCTCGTGCCCTCTCCTGCAGCAGTTTTGGGGCATAAAGGGTAAAGGCCAGACACAGCGTCGCCGGTGGCTCTTCCTGTCCCACTCCTGGCTCTCATCTTGGATGTTCTCTCACCCTCCTCCCACTCCTGGCAGGTTTGTCACATTGCCCTTCCCAGATCTCCTTGTGGGACCCTGTGGTAGGCTTCCCAACGCTACTGAGCTTCCCCCTCCCTCCTCATGGTGCTCTGTGCCTGTAGTAGGCTTGTGTTTATGAGAGCTTGGAATTGAGAAGACTGTGGGGAGAGCATCTGGGAGAAGATGCCACCAGTAGCTCCCACATCAGCCAGCTGGTTCCAAGGACTTGCCACTGGCCAAGGTTGAGCCCATTCGCAAAGGTGGTAGCGCTGCAGGAATAAAGTCTTTTGGGAATAGATACAAGAAACAGTCCTGCAGAGCCCAGAGCAGAAGAGAAGGAAGGGAAGAGGTGTTCCAGGCATAGCAGCAGAGATTCCTCTGCAGATGCATAGGAAGGCCATGGTTTGCAGGTTCTCACTCTGCAGCCCATGTTGTGCCACAGCTGAGCAGATGTGCCCCTGTAGCCCTTGGACATCCATGATGGAACCGGGTCATGCCCTAACCCCAGCCAGAAACAAAGTGCCATGAAGCCACTCACTCCCCTCCACCAGCTGGCTAGGGGAGAGAATCAGAGGAGCAGAAATGAGAAAACCTGTTGCTTTAGATAAAAACCAGTTTACTAGGGAAATCAAAAGCCACACGTGCAATCAAAGCTGAAAACACCATCAGTGCTACCAGCACCAACGTCGCAATGGGCTCATCTGTCTTTGTGGTGCCTCCTCCCACCACACCACCTGCACTGTTGGCCAGCCCTTCTATGTCTCCTGTGTCAAGTCAGTGTCCAGCAGACCCACTGGCACATGCTGGTGGTGAAGCAAGGCCCCTGAAGACACAGCTGCCCACTTCATGTGGGCTGGGGTTGGCCAGTAGCCACGGAGCCCATGGGTGGCCAGCGTGGCCATGCAGCCATTGTGACAACACTGGTGAGGTTGGCTCTGTAAAGCCCCAGTGTCACAAAGGGCTCCACCCTGGTACCCCCTATAAAAACAGAGCAGCCACACACGCCGCTCAGCCAGCACCACCATGGCCGGCTACAGACGGAGGAGGGGCAGGGCTCGCCGGAGCAGAAGCAGGAGCCAGCCAAACCTGCACAAGACGCGTCGCGCCGGCCAGAGCCGCTCCCGCCGCCGGAACACGCGGATGAGGGGCCATGCCGGTTATGCTGGCCAAGATGAAACAGGCAGCCCCCCCACTGGCAGGCGCCGGCCCCCAAATAGGAGACGCAGACGCCGTCCCGTAGAGGAGGAGGAGCCGGAGGAGCCTGAAGAGCTCATAGACTTCGAGTTTTAGAGCCAGAGCCTCCGAGACCACCAGCCACCACACGGGTACGGCTACAACAATAAAGCACAGAAAGCTTGCATAATGGCTGTGGGTCTCTCTGGTGCGCCTGCGTGGCAGCCACGGGTCTCTTGGTGTTCACCCAGGTCCTAGAATTGTGGGTGGCCCCCAGGTAAGCATGTTCGTGTCCAATTCCATGTCCAACAGCTGTGAGAGACCCCACACATGGGAGTCTTTGGGATCAGAGTAACAGGCCACAGACACCCCTGGTTTTTATCTCGAGCCACAAGTTTTCTCAATTTTATTCCTCCACTTCTCTCATCCAGAAAGTTACCCTCAAAGCCCCAGCAGTATGCTGGGACTGGGCACAAAGCACCAAATGTTCTTCTTTGTGTGGGCTCTGCTCGGCCTCTTGAGATCCAGCAAAAACAGAGACCCAAAAATGGACTCTAAGGGACCAGTGGCAGCAGCAGGGACATCCATGTGGGCTTGGTCATGTGTACTCCCTGACAGGGAAAGATTACGTCTAGTGTTTATGTTCATCTATTCATCCTTGAACACCTTCAGAATTTTTCATTGAATAGTATCCAGGCCTGAGCATTCTTACTAGTATGTTTTATAAAATTTATATGTATTTTTACAATATCCTGTATATTTATTAGCAGCAATGTAATTTAAAGTAAAGGTTCTCTCCCCATAAATCTCCTCATATTTCATTCTAGCAGTGACATTCCACTTAAGGATTTGGAAACTAGTTTACTAATGGAACTCATCCCATAGGTTCTATAACTTAGAAAAGTTTGCCTAGATTTAAAAATTGATTGGAAGAATTAATGGAAGAAAATCTGTCAAAGGCTATGAAGTATAAAGACTTCTCTTCAGGCCCATGAAGACTTGGGAGTATCCTCTGGGGAAGTTTATAAGTATGACCTGCACAAACAGTGCTTTGGCATTCACTGTTGACCACTACTGGCCATTCTTTTGTAATTACGTAATAAATGAGAAGAACAAAGCCCAGTCAAAGAGAAAGAAAGTTCCATCTTTTGCCTGACATAAAGTCAGGCACTCAGAAACATCCATCAGTGAGACCCAATTCTCAACATAGAAAAGAAACATTTATTTCTTTATTTCCTTTCTGTAGCAAAGAAATATGTCCTTATCAGCCTGCTACACTAAATCAGCTCCGGTCTGACATGCACTTCAACAGATGCACTTCAACACCTGGTTTGTTCCACGGTGCTAATGGACAAGTGTCCTCTGCATAGAAGCAATGGTTTTAATTAGAAGTTTGGTGAACCCAAAAGACCTCTAATGAGTCAGTGAGGTACCGAGACTGAACTTGCTATTCAGTCTTGTGGGAACCTTGAAGATTTGATGTAAAGTGCACTGCTGTATGTTTTGCTCCATTGCTGCATAAACAGAAGCAAGGCTGTCAGGCTGAAATGGTTCACCACTGCAAAATACCCTCGCAGGCTCAAGAAAAGAAATAAATATGAAGGGAGGAGCAAACAATCCAAAACCAAAGATAATTGCTAGGGATAAGGAAAAGAGCTGTTTAGCATTTCAAAAGGCATCTTTCTTCCTACATATGATCACAGTGTTCCAAATCCATCAACAAACCCAGAAATCCTGAAGCTAGAGTAGCAGCTAGTTTGTTCCAAAGGAGATCACCCTGATGGTTGGTTATATATGGAGCTGGTATGTCAGTGTGGGCTAATCT